TTTTTTTTTTTTTTTTTTTTTTTTACTACTCACATTCAGTAATTCCAAATGCTCTCCAAACCCTGCTGTTGTTCCTCAAATGTCCTTTTGCCAATCTCAAAATTAGACACAACAGATGAATTCTCAGTGCTCATGACAGTCTCTTGAGAGACACTCTCATTCCCCGGGCCCGGATTCGCATACGGGCCGCCGTAGCTCGCGAGGAAGCTCCTAAGAATCGCCGGGTCCTGGATCGCGCCCGGGCCCGTGAACTGAAACCCATTCCCCGGCTGAACCGCAGGGAACGGAACCCAAGGAACCGCGAAAGAGTCCAAGGCACTCGACGAGGGCGTGTATAAAACCGAGGGCCCGTTGAAACTCGCGGTCAAAAAATCGTCTTGAATTTTCTGGCAAGGCGCGGGGAAAACTGGCTTGGAGAAGCAGTGCACGTGTTGTCCCTGACCCTGGCCCGACCCGGTTTCTTCCGGCTTCACGTCCATCAACGGCGGCAGCTCGTCTCCGGTCGGGCTCACTCTCACCAGCCCCGATATGTGGACCTTTTTGCCCCCGGCCGTTTTCTGAAAAACCCGGCTGATAACCCAATCATTCTGTAAACAATAACAAAAAAACAAGAATTCAAGAACCATGATTTTGATCATCAATTAAACAAACTCAATAGAAACAGGGGAATTATAAGGGAAAAAAGAAAAAAAGAACAACCTTTGTTGCTTTTGGGAGATTTTCAAGAGAGAATTTGCCTTCCAATCTGTATTCATGGCAGACCCAGTTGGATTTTTCACCTTTTGGGGCCCTTCCTCTGTAAAAAACCAGAGTTTTTTTCATGCCCACCAAGATTTTATTACCCCTAAAAATCTCCTTGTCTTTGCCAGTGGCTTTCCAGTAGCCTGAGGCTGTTGCCCTGTTTGTCCTAAGCCCTGTTGGGTACTTCTTGTCCCTAACACAGAAAAAGTACCACTCTTTTTCACCTAGGTTTGCTTTCCCTGCATCATAAAAATCACATAATTGGTAAAAGTTAAAAAAAAAGTAATAAAAATCCAATCTTTTTTTTAAAGAAAGAAAGAAACTTACATGGTAAATCCCAAGGCTCAACCTTGTTCATGTCAACATCTCCAATGGCTATGGGGGCAAAACCGGGATCCAAAACCTTCTTCGACAGGTAGTGAGTGATGAGCTCCTCGTCGGTCGGGTGGAATCGGAATCCGGGCGGTAGCTCCAAGAGATCACCTCTTCTCAGAGCTCCACAATTGTTTTCCATATCAAATTTTTTTCACAAATGAAACAAAAAGAAGAGTTCTTTTTTTTTTTTTTTCTTCTTCAAGAAAGTCTATGTTTTTTGGCTTCTTTGTAAGAAAATGGATGATCATGTAATGAAAAAAAGGACAATATAAATTAAAAAAAGAAAAAAAGAAAAAGAATTATGAAGAGAAATTGAAGCTGAGAATTATTAAGAAAGGAAAAAGAGCATGAGGATCATAAGGCCATTAAATAGTTGGTGGGCAGAGGCAGAGGTGAAAGAAACGTGGTTTCTAAGCAACTGGACGAGGTTAGTTTTCTTTTTTTTTTTTCTTTTTTTTTTTTTTGTTGTTTTTGAACAAATCCATCCATCACTCTTTGGTTAAAAATTTGACCAAGTGCACCTCATCTAGGAGAAAAGACCATTGTGCCCCTAAACTGTGTTTAAGATAATCTCACTGATTAATTAATTAATTAATTAATTAATTAAACAGTATTTTGGTCAAGCAGCTGCCGCAACTTGTTGGCTATGGTGTATTTTGCTATGTTTGAAATCAAATAGATTAAGGGATAGATTTGATTATTCCCATGTTTCATGGGATTAAAAAAAAAGGCTAATTCTACTGTTAGACTTTTTAACGGAACGAAGTCATACTTTACATATATATTTTAGGAAGGTACTATGGTCCGGTAACGGATCATTCCGTCGGAATTTGTAACCTTTCGATCAATTATACCTGACGGTTACATGATGATTTAACAGTTCACAACCCGATGGAATCTAACCCAACGGAATAGTTCCGTACCGGGACCTTAACATTTCTCTTTATTTTATAAAATATCACATTTTTGTTTATATTATATTTTAAATCATAATATTTGAGTATGAAAGTATGTAGATGTGTTAAAACTTAAAAGGGTGTGATTGCCTACTAATTAGGTTAACAGAAGAACTATTAGTTGAAAAAATGTAAAAAAAAAAAAAAAGAAAAGAAAAGAATTAATGGCATAATAATTGTAACATATAATAATATGAATGACTGTATTAACTTTGGAATTAATACATATTCAAATTCTTATTTATTTATTTTATCTACATCAAATAAATTCGATAACATTAGAATATAAATAAATGATGGCAATACAATACTTTTGTTGTATATAGAAAATTGGCTCTACTATGGAGCCAACTGTTGGCTTCGTAGCAAACCCGTTGTGGTTTATTTTTGTCATTGGTTTTTAAATTGTCTTATCTTTAAATTTATAAATCGTTTATAAATAGTTTATGTATAATTTTGTTTTGAAACATGATATATATTCGTCTAATCACCGTAATTCCCTACTCTCATAAAATATCACACTTTTAGTTATATTATATTTTAAATCATAATATTTGAGTATGAAAGTATGTACATGTGTTAAAACTTAGTGTGATTGCCTACTCAATAGGTTAACAGAAGAACTATTAGTTGAAAAAATGTAAAAAAAAAAAAGAACTAATGGCATAATAATTGTAACATATAATAATATGAATGATTGTATTAACTTTAGAATTAATACATATTCAAATTCGTATTTATTTATTTTATTTACATAAATTAAATTCGATAACATTAATTAGAATATAAATAATAAATGATGGCAATACAATACTTTTGTTGTATATAGAATAAACCACAAGTCTTTTGGGACAGTCTCAAGGTAAGAGGACCACAAAAAATAATTTCTTTTTTCTATTTATTTCTTAGTTCACATATTAAGGTGGATCAAATTTGATCAATTTTTAATATTTTCAAAATCGATCAATTTGATAACAATTGTAGTCAAAAATTGACGCAATGTAACAGTAACTCCAACCCTACGTTATCTCTCAAAATATGTGCTATTGTAGCGCAAATCACCCTCAAGTGTTGCGCCAAACATCTGCGCTATTTCAGAGAAAACAATAATGTTGCGCCTAGGGGTGAGCATGGCGTGGTTTGGTCAAAAACCGAACTGCACCGTAGAAAAATCGAAAACCAATTTTCTGAAATTTCTTAACCGCACCACACTGCAAGAGGAAAAAAAAAACCGAACCAAACCGAACCGAAATGTTCGGTTCGGTACGGTGCGGTTTTTCGGTTAACCGCAAATAAAAATGAATTACCATAAATAAGAAAAAACATACAAACATTCATTATGATTATGCCATTACAAAATAAAAATTAAACAACCACAATAAGTCCAACACTCAAAGTTTTTTTTTTTTTTTTTATGTTTTAAAATGCAACTTGTATACAAAATATATGTAAAAGTGAAACTAAAATGACACTTTTTTAATATGCGGTGCGGTTCGGTTAAAACCGCACCTTTCGGATGAGAAACCGAACCGCACCGAAACATATCCGGTTTTTCAAAATCCAAACCGCACCGTTAACCGAGCTCGTCCAAAACCGCACAGAACCGCACCGAATAGCTCAGTTCGGTTCGGTTTTTCGGTTTCGGCTCGGTTTTGCTCACCCCTAGTTGCGCCAGATGTGGGTAGTACTGTAGCATCTTTATATTTTTGTTTTTGTATTTTAATGTAATATTAATGATAAATTTTTGTATAATGTATATTAATAAATCTATTTTTTATGCTAGATAACTGTGTGCAACGTATTTTTTATGCTAATAATTTTGAGTTTTTAATTTATTTATGTATTATAATTTTGTTTTGTAATATTTTAAGATTAAAATGATACTATATGAAGAAAATTTAATGCATATTTTGTGTATTCCTATTGTTTGAATTTATGGAGTAGTCTCGTGTTGTTATACATAAACGTGTTTTTATTATTTGGATAATAAAAATTAATATAAGATTAAATCTACATATATATATATATATATATATCAATTATTTGAAATAAAATTAATAAGAAAATAATATATATGATGTAGAATAAAATATAGCGTGAATTGTTGGAGATGAAATTTGAAATTCGGCTCACTCTACAGTAGAGTAAACTCTACTATACGGTAGAGCGAAGGGTTGGAGATAGTCTATGCATGTGTCACAATAAACTTTGTGGTCGAAATTCAAATTTTCTAAATTTCAATTTGGTAAAAAATCCCAATTATGGCCTTAAATTATCGTCGTCATGCGTACATGTTTTGTTAAATTTCAATCTAAATTTATTATCAACTTCATTGATGATAATAAGAATACTTATTAATTAATTAAATTATCATCGTCATGCGTACATGAGTTCAGCTCGGATCGTTCTGGTTTGTGTTCGACTCGGCGCGTTTGATAGTGAGTCGAGGTCGAGCTCGCTGATTTAGTTATTAAGTCGGGCTTGACTCGATTCGTTTGTATTGATAAACGAGTTGAACTCGAGTTCGATTACTGACTAATTTAGTTAACGAGGCTCGACTTGTCACATTAACGGGATTAGAGCTTGAGCTCGACTGGGCTCATTTACACCCCTCCTCTAGAATCATGACACACTTTTTATTTTTTATTTGTTTTTCAAACCAAAGGTGTATATCAAATAAATAAACGTGATAATTAAACAATACGAAATATTTGAAGACATGATGAAGACAACCCTGAAAAGCCCATTTGATTATGATATTGATATTGAAGATTATTATTATTTTTGTTTCAAAATTTTGAGGTGATGATCTACATGATTTGATATGGAAAAGTATTTGTTTGGCTACCGTTCATCGGTTTTGCTATGAAGTCAACAATTGTCTTTATAGTGGAGCCAACATTTTATATAGAACAAGCAAACCTATCATATTCTCTGATTATTTAAATAACACTAACATAATTTTATTAATATGGTAGGTTTATTTGTTGTATATAGAATGTTAGCTCAACTTTAGAGTTAACTGTTGGTTTCATAGCAAAACCGTTCATAAAGAACCGTACAAAGTCACACTCCACCATATATATCAATGGTATAATGAATTGTTGAAATACATTGCACTTTTCATTAATGGAAAAGAAGTCATCTCGATCGTGGAATTTGATTGCCATAAAAATTGAATAATTTTTGGTGGATTGCTATAAGTATAAATGTAAAGTTACGAATTTTAGTTTCAAAATGGAACAGCTCTAGCATAGTACGTAAGTTTTAGATAATGTGATTAGATTTTAATCTTATTATTATAGGACAACAAAATACGGCAACGCAAGTGTGACACAGAAAGGACAAAAACACTAATAATGTATATAATGGAAAATATTATTATTACGACTATCTACACCAATGTTCAAGTAAATATATATATGTATAAACTATATTTATCGTCATTAGTCTAATTTTTCATTTTCTTACTTTTATTTTCCTTAATAATTTTATTGGTAGGCAAGTTAATTAATATAGGGATTTGTAGGAGTTATTTTATTTAAGAAGACTTCTCTTTTTATTATGAAGATCGATTGACTGAAGAATAAAAATATATACGTTTGAGAGTTTTTCTCTCTATCTTTCTCATTCGTTATCGCAGCGCACAACATAAACTCAGGTTAACACGCAGCACATAACCGTCGATTCGTATCTGGTAATTCATCAAAATCAAGTCCTCAGCTTAACACGCAGCTCGAGTGTAATTGTCCATCCACATAACCCTCTATTCGTATCTGGTAATTCATCAAAATCAAGTCCTCTTATATTATCGAACCATCTATTGAATAATGTCTCATCAACTAAGAAGTACATTAAAATTGTAACATAATCATTTTAAAAGTTATAAATAAATTATTCGTAGGTCTAATTGCTTAAAAAAATTATGACCTTTTACTAAACTGCAAATAAATCTCAACATTTTAAAGTTTGCCATTAAATTTCAACATTTTAAGTGTGTTGCATGTTAGTTCCGATTGATTTCCTACCTCCTCTTGTTGATGTGTCCGGCGAAGTGATGATATGTCCCAGCAACAAATGATGTGGCTTTTTATGTCTTAAAACATACACATATTTAAAAGGATGTCAAATATATCATCAATTCGCAGCAAAGAGGATGTCGGAAAAACCAATCGGAGCTTAA